TAAAGGGATTATTCTCAAGTTTGGTCTGAAAGGTGTTAGCGAATAATGGTCCTAAATAGGACCCCATAACAACCCCATCCTTCTGGCGATATAATTAATTTCTGCTGGGAACCGTTTTACCCCCGAAACATAATAGTACTAACGCAACTCGTGTGTGATGCGCCTATCCCGCGTGAACAGGAATGGCAGCATCCTCAAAACAGCATTTAGGGAGTATGCGATCCCCATTTGAACGGTGATATGTGGTCAAGCTAGCGAAGTCGATTATGGCTGGAACGATGTTTCACTGGGTACTTTTACCGTCGGTAACTTCAATAGGTCGGTAATTTCAATAGGATCGAAATTATATGCTAACTGGAAATGAATTTAGCACAACATCCGGACGCACATACACAAACACAAATAACAAGTTTTCAGAATTCCCACAAGCACACAGGACGACCAATGGAAAGGTCCGATGGCAGATGCGCATTTTCCATGGTTACCATTTTTCAACACAGTAATTCGCTCTAAGAGGTCTTGTTCAATTTTGACCTTTAGGAGAAACCGCAAATCATGTGCTTTTGAGCAATCCAAACATACTACTTATAACAATAAGAAAATGACAGGGGTAATATGTTAAAGTTATACCAACTTTTAAGTCACACACACACGCACACTTTGAAAACAATACTGTTGGTTCGTAGCTCATGCGAAACAGACGACGTAACTGGTGGGCATCAAGCATTAGGATAATAAAGCAGACACGTTTATGGGTTCGATTCTGATGTGAACTGATCAGAGTGAACCTTTCGTCAACCTGGAAAGAATTGTGAAACATCACAACAAGTCACCGCGCATCAGAGAACATGAACTCGCAAGCGTGCGCGTTGGAAGCATGATTCCAATTTGGACTGATAATTCAAAGAAATCAATAATAGGCACTGACTGTTTGCAAAGCGAAGTGCTCGCAGGCGAATGCGGACAAGAATGTGAATTCAACGCGGTCAAGTCGAGTGGTTGTTTTATCCCACACTCCATCCACGGTGGTGGCGCAGTGGTTTAGTCGCTGTCACCGGCGTGCTTTGGACCCTGTGGTCCGAGGTTCGAGCTCCGCCACAACCACCCAACCTTGGTGATAGGCAGCTTTGCTGTCGTCCGGTTCAATACCACACCTAACCTA